TCACCTCTACACTGTCACTGAGGCTACATGCAGACGTACAGTATTGTGTACATTCCGTACATAAATCCTACAGTACCACACTAGTAGTAGTACTACTAATAACGTACGCGCACTACGAAGCACTGATAATAGCACTACAATAAGACTGCAATAAGACTACGAAGCACTGATAATAGCACTACAATAAGACTGCAATAAGACTACGAAGCACTGATAATAGCATTACAATCTACTGTACGCGCACGGTTAACATCGGACGCATTCTAAAAACACAACTGCACCGCCATAACTCTCCGGCGTATCTCTTTCTTCGCGCCGTTTTCTCTATTGTTTTCACTTCTTGGAACCATCCTCGCGGAGGGTACCCACAAATTGCTCATTGCGGGAGATCCCCCGCTAGCGCCATCTCTCGTGAGCCAAAAATGAAACGCACGATGCCAAAAGCGAATCTGCTACAAGTACAATACGTCGTGTGAGTACAAAGTAAACATGCATGTCAATGTGGAAATACTGTGAAAGAGTTAAATTTTGGCACATGTTAGTGTAGACCGAGAACATGATATCTTACATAGTACGTCTTTAAACTGGTCGGCTATATCTTGTGAATGCTTGTCGGGATTTTTCACAGCTTGATAGGCCAGAAATAAGGGTTTTGGAAAGAGCCAGAGGAATCGACTGCTGAAACCCTTGGATATGTGTTGGTGTTCACTTAAGAGTGGATAGGCTGATGCTAGCTGCGTAAATGCGGCGATGCTCAGGCTGGTTCTTTTCATAGCGAAGTTTGCTTTTTGTGTTACTAGAGAGAAAAGAGAAAAGCATATAAGACGATGAAATGTATCATGGCAAAACCCAGACGCATTGTTAATGTGTTGGACTTGTAAGAAGAGTATACAGGTACACCGACAAATACAAATATGACATAGGGCGAGTGTAAATAGTAAGTGAACGACAGATAGGAATGGGAGGTGAAACAAAACGCACGGCACGGCTGGAGAAAGCAACTACAATGGGTAGATATGATTTCGTAATGGAATAGCGAAATGTAAGTACATAATAAAAATGTCGCTAATCCTGTAAAAAATGTACCTGTTCTGCGGGTCTAAGAAAGGCTATTGTACATTTGTAGGAACGTAGAATATTCATGGCTCTCTATGATGCCCTTCGATGAGGTGTAAAGGTTGATTTGTGACAAGAAATATGTCAGCTCATTAAATAAGCCTAACAGTGAGCAATAATAATTAACCCTAACCCTAACCTTAACCGCTGAGCGCAGATCTTGCACGCAGTTCCGCGGCAATGTCCTACGACAGTATGCAGCGCTGGCAGCTATGGATCCGTGCGCCGAATGCATAGGTCAGTGCACGGAACCATAGCTGCCAGCGAACAGTCCGGAATTTTAGGGGAGACACAGAGGGCAGAGATTTGGGACGTGGGAGGAACTGGCGATTAGATGGGGGGTCGTACAGATGGGGGGGGGCGAGAGCAAAGGTTTTGATTTTGCGGTGGTTCCATTTCCGTGTGGTCTTAGGCGTGTTTCTTCCCCATGACGCCTGTCCTATGTAGCACTTGATATGTGAACATTAGAGAGATCGCACCATGATTGCATGAAGAAATGGATGACGATGTTGTACGAGAGAGTATGCGCATTATGTGGCTATTCGTAACATCGAACTGATTTCTCTGCGTATTGCTCTGCTCTGTGCTGCTACAGAACGTCATGACGGCAGTGCCTACGTCGTGTTGAAGGGAACTGTCGACAGCCGTCATGTTGAAGATGTCGGCAACGTTGTTTTGCCTGAAGTTCTTCATGTAACATGATGTTCTGCACACAATGGCCAACTTCGTCAATATGATCGATTGAGATGACATTTGTCACGCGTAGTTAGACTTATATTGCTGAACGGCGCATATATGACCGCCGGAGAATGTATATCTGTACAGCCAGCTGTACATGAGCCGGCAAAGGCAAAGTCTGCTGAGGCAGTTGCAAGTATAACACACAAAGAAACCATCGAACCATGAAGAACACAGGGGGGACACAGAGGGCAATCAGAAGTGTCCTTAACAACTCGTCGTCGAGCTGTTGTCCATGCTGCTTGAGAAGGGCGGAGAGAACATTTTTAGCACTCCCAATCATTCTCTCCCAAGCTCCTCCCATGTGGCTAGCGTGTGGCGGGTTAAAACTGAACGGAATCCAGTCGCAGTTCTCCTTCAACAGTTCGACAGCAATCTTCTTATTGTCCATTTCAGACAACGCGGTGGTGAGTTCATTTTTCCCCCCAATGAAATTTGTCCCCCTGTCAGAGCGTAATAACCTTATTACACCCCGGCGGCGGTAAGCATTCAAGAAAGAGTCTGTATCTAAGCTGTTGGCCGTTTCGATATGAATGGCTCTTGAGGACATACAACTAAACAACACCCCCCATCGCTTTTTATCTGACCTTTTTTTTCTTATAAGCCATGGCCCAAAATAGTCAACTGCGCAGTATGTAAACTGTGCAGCGGGTTCTAAGCAGTCTACCGGTAGATCGGCCATCTTTTGCCCACAGGTTGTGCCCCGTAACATGCGACAAGTGACCCAGCTAAGAATATAGGATGTCACAGCAGCTCGACCCCCAACAATCCAAAATCCAGCCTGTCTTGAGCTATTAAGCGTCATTCCGCGCCCTGCATGTCCCTCGACCCTATGACAATGGTCAATTACTAAGCTTGTGATATGACTACTGCGGGGAAGTAACACATTTTGCTTGACTAAGGAGGGTAGGCTAGCACGTTTGATCTTCCCACCGACTCTGAGAATTCCATTCTCGTCCAGGAAGGAATCCAGGGTACATAGGCTACTACTCATCCCCACAGGGTTGAGTCTATGTTTGTCCTTGGCCGGCGTCTTCAATGCACGGATCTCCCTGGGAAAAGCCCCGTCCTGGGTGACTCTAACGATCGACTGCTCGGCTATCTTCATCGCCTCCACACTTACTGACTGGTAAGGACTAATTGCGGGTTTGGTGCCACCCGTAGGTGCAGTTTCTCGTTCCTGTACGCGCTTCTAAAATATACTAAAATAGCGCAGACAGAGCAGTAGCTCGCTTGAGGCGGAACCAACTAGAAAAGTATCGAACCTCACAGACAGACTGGCGTATGGCTGTGGGACAACATGGGTGGCTAGTGTTGTGACGATCTTTCTCACTTCTGGGTCATCCTCTCGAAGACCAATTCCTCCAGTGCTGGGACAGGAGGGGCTATATAGCCCAGCACAACCCGGCTATCCGTATGAAAAGCGCTAGTTAATTCCATACTAAGTTGCTTCTCTACAAAGGTCGCTACCCTCGCACGTGTAACTGAAGCAACTAACTCTAATCTCGGAATGCTGACAGCACGCTGTGGGGTAACTCTAGACTTCGCCATGACCAGGGACGTCTCAACCTTCCCGTCTTCGTCTTCTAACATCAAGTACGTGCACTGTCCATAACCATCTTGACTTGCATCCGAGAAGCTGTGCAATTCTGAACTCTTCACTTTGCCAAGCTCACCAGATTTATAGCATCGAGGGATTCGTAATTGAGTCAAAGACAGGAGATCTGTCCTCCACTTTTCCTATCTCATCTTAACGTCGTCTTGTATCTCGGTGTTCCAATCCACCTTCTGTTGACATAGCTCCTTCAAGATAGCCTCCCCACGCAAGATAACAGGGGAAACCAACCCTAGGGGATCAAATATAGACGCGACTGTAGACAGAATTCCCCTACGCGTGAGGGGTTTGTCCCTCAGGTTAAGGCTGAATCCGAATGCGTCACACTCAACATGCCATTCCATGCCCAATGTCCTCTCTATTGGCAAATCGGCATACTTCAAGTCGAGTTTCTGAATGTTCTTTCCCCATTCTGATTGTGGTATGGCCTTTAACACTTCCCTACTATGTGACACAAATTTGTGCGCTCTAAACCCACGTTCAGCAACGAGTTTAGTGACAGAATGTGCCAAATTTATCGCCCCTTGGGCTGCACTGTCACATCTAAGCCCATCGTCGACATAGAACTGGTTCCTTACAAAATCGGCTGCCTTCTTACCATACTTATATTCAAATTCATCGGCCACCGATTTCAACGTGAAGTTAGCACAACCTGGGGATGAGGTGGCACCAAACAAATGAACTCTCATGCGATATTCTGTAGGCTCAGAGTCCAATACACCACCCTCCCACCATAGGAATCGGAGATAGTTTCAATGTTGAACTCACGACTGCCGTTGTAGACAATATTGATCACATCCTAAGTTCCACCACAGCAAAACAGTCATTCCATGGGACTGCTATTTCCCTCATGCAACACCCTGCGGTCCCTGGGGCTGGCATTGACCGCAGCATCATCATCCTTGGAGGGCCGAACGAAAGAGGCCTCAAAACAGTTGACCGTTTGCCGCATTACTATACAGATGTCCCATCCGTCGGCAGCATCAGGAACACCCCCGTGCCGGCTACCATCGTGATATCCCTGAGCAGCAACAGCGGCCTCAAGCAACATGCTGAAAGAGAGTATCTCTGGCTAAAACACACCCAAGTCGCCCAACAAAAACTTCTCCAGTGAAAGCTCCCACACCGTGGATATGATCAAGCACTCCATGGATTTGATCAGGATTGCAGTGGAACATCTCAACCATGGCCAGACTCCAGTGGTCACATGCGACCAGCCGCTGTTTGCTTTGGCAAAGGAAATCCAGTGGAAGTGGCCGCAAGAGTATGGTGTAGAGAAGTTTGTCGTTCTCTTCGGCGGTCTTCATATCGAGATGGCAGCACTGAAGACCTTTGGTGACTGGCTGCAAGAGAGCAGATGGGTGCAAGCACTGGTTCGAGCAGAGATCACCAGTGCCAGGACAGTGGACTCCTTCCTGCCATCATCCCATGTCAGTCGAACCAGGAGGGCTCATCAAGTGACAGCAGCAGCCCTCTTCACCCTGCAGCAGCACGCCTACAACCACTACATTGACCAGCTGGGTGACGCACGCAACGAGCAGCTGGAGTTCGACGATTGGTGCCAGCAAAAAGCGGAGACCTGCCCCCAGTTCGACTACTGGGTAACTGTCCTGCAACTGAAGGTAACGGTCCTGGTGTACGTGCGCTCTCTGCGCCAAGCTACGTTTGTGATGTAGCTAGATGCTCTGACAGAACTAGCAGTGTGGTTTCATGCCCTGGATCACACCAACTACGTGCGCTGAATTTCTATGCATCTGCAAGACATGGTGGAACTGCTGACGACACACCCTGAAATAGCCCAAGAATTCCGAGCTGGGAACTTTACCGTCCAGAAGACGAACAGGTCGTTCTCTGCCATCCGCGTCGATCAGGCCCACGAGCAGAACAATGCTGCCAACAAAGGAGACGGAGATGCAGTGGGCCTTACCGACAACCCCAGCGCTCTACGATGGTGGATGGTGGCAAAACCAGAGGTTGCCATGCTCATCGAACCGTTCCTTGACGAAACTGACCCGGGGAACAGACCACAAGACACAAGGCACCATGACCAGTCAGCAAGTGTGCAGACTGCTTTCCTGAAAGATGTACAGTCGATGGTCAACGTGATGGAAGACTTGGGGAATCCATTTGAAGAGAAGAGTCAAGATCTGCTGGTACTCGAAACCAAGGAGATTGCGCCACTTGGAACTGTAGACGCCCTCCGTCATGCACACGAAGTGGGTCAGCTGCAGTTTGACAACTTCGTCAGAGAACGCCTGGTAGAGAGAACGAAACCCATAGGAGATGCCATCCAAAGAAACAAGCTGAATAGCTTCGGTCAGCCTGCTTCAAAACCTCCGGGAAACGGCAATCAGCAGATGAAATCCTTCAAGAATGACGCGGACCTGTTCTCTCGTCTGTATATCGGGTGCCAGAACCGGGATGGGAATCTAGAGCAATTCTTCCAACGTGAAAACCAGCCTGCCCTCCCTGCACTATCAGCTGGCGGTGGCATCCGGCTGGGTGTCAAGAGTGATCTTCTCGCTTGTCTAGAAGACCTCAGTCAGCCCAAGTTTGAGGTTCCTCCAACCAGCTGCATTGTGCTAGATGGAGCGGTCATCATCCAGATGCTGAAGCCAGCTACAGCAAAAAGCTTCAACGAGTATGCACAGCAGGTCTTTGTGCCCTACATACTCTCAAAATTCCATCAAGCCACGCGACTGGACCTGGTGTTGGACCGCTACAATACAGACTCGTTGAAGGGTACACCAAGGGCCAAGCGCGGAAAGGGGGTGAGAAGACGGGTGGTGGTTGGTGCAACGATTCCCAGAAACTGGGCCAGCTTCCTCAGAGTCGACGAGAACAAGAAAGAGCTGTTCAGCTTCCTCTCTGGCGTCCTCCACGACTCATTCCAGCTTGCAGACAAGGAGCTGGTCATCACTGAAGGAGATGATGTCTTGAGCAAGCCACCGCTCCTAGATACTGCAGCCCTGGCTCCTTGCAACCACAAAGAAGCTGATAGCCGTATGATGTTGCATGCCGCCCACGCTGCTCACAATGGCCGCAAGAAGTTCCTCATCCGCACAGTTGACACTGATGTTGTTGTCCTGGCAGTGGCTCTGGCCTGCACCCTGGAGGAGGAAGTCAAAGTGTGGGTGTCCTTCGGCACAGGCAAGGCTTTCCGGTTCTTGGCAGCCCATGAGGTGGCGCGGTCTCTGGGCCCTGAGAAAGCACAGGCACAAGCACGACACAGTCTCCTGCTTCGCCGGACATGGCAAGAGGACAGCATGGGCAGTGTGGACAGCTCTACCTCAGCGGAACCAGACACTCACTGACCTATCCACTGCACCAGATCATATTGATGAAGATGCCATGCAGATCATGGAAAGGTTCATCATTCTGCTTAACGACATAACAAGCACCGCAACCGATATCGACAAGGCACGCTGCAAACTGTTTGCAAAGAAGAGCAATGTCCAGTTGATCCCACTGACAAGTGCAGCCCTGAAGCAGCACGTCCGACGAGCAATATACCAGGGCGACATGTCTGGGGTCAGGCCCTGGTTCCCGACGATCCTGACTGGGGTTGGATCGAGACCAGCAACATGTACGAACCTTTCTGGATAACGCTCCCCGAGGCATCTAAGGTCTGCCGGGAGCTTTTCTTCTGCAAATTCCAGAAGGGCTGCATCAAGAGGTGCAAGTGCAAGAAGGCCAGTCTGGAATGCACACCACTGTGCTTGCGACGGGGAGTGCTCTCAGAACTGAACTCGCAAACTTAAGATGAAGATTCTGAACTGTTCCAGACAGTACACAGGTACTGTAAAACAGTGGACTTATCTGCATATTACATTAAGCAGATTATGTGTTAATTAACATGATAATTAAATGTAGTAGTGTCCCTTGACCACAGAAATATAGCATTTGACTTGCCTAGGATTGATCTGATGAGAGCAAGCCACCATAATTATCACTATCTGGTTCTGTTATTGTTGTTGTATTATCGATGTAATTAGCCTAATTGTGTTAATAATTTTGTTAATTGCCATCGTAATTGGCGTGGGCAGTGTCAATGAATAGCTATTGACAGACAGAGGAAGAAGGTTAGATAACATTTCCACAACTTAAATGAATCTAGCCTATTCACAAGGAATGTCAGCATTTGATGCCGGATCATGTAATGGGTTTCCTTGTCCCCATTTCATCTACAATTAGCCTAAATATGTTAATTAATATCAGCAGCATCTCCCAAAATGTGACTATAAGAGCTATCTGGCATGTCTTGATTCAAAACATTCAATAAACATTCACTAAAACCTTCAGCAGCAAACTTTATCTATCTTCTGTGTGTCTTTTGGGTGTCTGCTGGCGGCCATTTTGGAAAATGGCCGCCACGGCCGCCAGGGGGCAGTTGGGCGATGGCTCCACATCCAAATTTGTTCATAATATATTGGTCTACCTCTGTGCCAAAATTGGTGCTTTTATCAAAAAATGCACGATAGGTTAGCTTACCCGCTGTACTAAGTGAGATTGTTAGTGAGGTCGGGTCCCTGTAGCAAGTGCTCATTGAGGGACTCGTTCAAACTGAGCACTACAATCAAAAACGACTCTACATTTATCGCGTTTCACTGGGTGGTACACCCCATGGTGGGGGATATACCATACTGTACCATCACAAAGTTCAAGCTCATTCTCTGGAACCTTCTCTGCATAACCACTCTTGAGCATGTCACCCATCGACTTGATGTAGTCATCTCGTAGTTTTGGGTTCTTTATCATTCTAGCCCGGAGCTGCGCAAGTCTCTTTGCTGCCATGAACCTGTTGTTTGGCATCTTCGCTTCACCCTTGAAAGGCAATGACATCTCCAGGTGGCCGTCTTCTCGCACATGGACCCCATCCTTCAACAGGCACATGAACTCGCGATCATCTATAGACAGTTTTTCTTCCTGCTGGGTAGCGCAATATTCTACAAAATCCCGTTCAAACATCGTGGAAACTACGGCGGGGCTTATGACCTCTTTAGTCGATGTTCGAAATGCAAAATGACTGGTTTGGTCACCACTATGCGTACCCCCCATTCTACCAATCACCCCCCATCCCAGGGCTGTATTCACACCGTACGGGTCCCCATCTTCCGGACCTGGTAAGGCCTCCAAAGGCCTAATTGCCTTTGTACAGTTCATGCCAATCAGTAGGCCTACCTCTACGTCCGCGAAAACTGGTGCAGCCTAAAAATTTCGAGAGCTTTTTTACGAGAGCTCTTTTTTGATTTTGTATGAAAAAAGCGCTCTCGTAATTTTTTTTACGGGAGCTATTTTAGGCTTGGCCAGAGCTACTTTTTCATAGCATGATTTTGTTAAAATTTTCATCATTTATAGATGCACTGACTTATCTAATGTCTCAGAAGCCAGAATTGGTGTTAATTATTCGTAAAGGTGTTCCCAAAACGAAAGTCAAGATTACTGCTTTGGCAAAGATTGAGGAAGTTCAACAATCATTTCATATATGCCATGGGCTTGACAAAATGCATCGAGGCCGGCTTTACATGTTGCCTGTATGCATGTTGGTACAGTTTATGACTTGCGACATCCCCTGCTTCTGGCAGCTGATTTGTCTCATCTCGCAATCGTTTTTTTTCGATTCAAATCCTCGTCCGCCAGCAAGGCCAGCCTTAGTCTGTGACAAAACATCAGAGACGGGTGAGAAACAGAAAATCTCATTATGTCTAGTCATTCAATAAAAAAACTTGCTGCATCCGAAAAGGCAAACGCCAATTTGCAAGCTACATTGCCGGGTGGCGAATTTTTGGTTGCCTCGGGGCCACTCCGGGCAAGCGGTGTTGTCGAGCACGGCACCGCAGTTCTTCGGATTTCGGCTGGAAAATACTGTGGACAGGCAGGACTACACTTCCAGAACGTATTTACGTTAGATAGCAATTAAAGAAGTTACGAAGGTTACTTTCGTTGTCTCCCCGGTTCCACGGTACCGCCAATTGCATAGAAGGTCTATCAATGCTGTCCGAATCGCAAGTTTACACGCGTGAGAATCTTTAAGTATATACAGCTTCACAT